GAATAAAAAAAAAAAAAAAAAGGGTTTGCGTCTGGCTAAAATTTTCTAGATTTGTGGTATATGGCTAAGGTTGCTGTATTTGCACACAAGTAGCAGATATCTGATTTCACATAGTTAACAAGAACAATAATAAAAGAGAAATAATCAATAATTATATGCCAAAAGCAAGAGATATTCCAGATTTTCACTTAAAAGGAAATGCGCAAATATAAAAGATTCAGTGATGATATTACATTTTGGCCGATCTGATATCATCTGACTGGTCAAGTCGAGTATTTCATCAACTACCACATAGCTAGAAAGTGACATATTGTAAATCTTATGTGTGTTGTAACCTTTCATCATAAAACAGAATAGGGGAAAAAAAAGTAACGAGCTGGAAATTTTGGTAAGCAGAGAAAGTGAACAACGATACAAGAAATCTCATCGAGATGCGTTAATAAAGAGACCTAAACAGATATTCACTAATCGATTTTCTTCTTATAACAATAACTGGTGGTATCCCCCAGCTTTGTACCAAACCTTACAAAAGATGAGATTTTGGCAACTTCCGGTATGCAAATATCAAAAGAATATAAAGCTCAGTGCTAGATTGCAAGAATTTCAGATTTCAATCAAGTTCCAATATAATCAAAGGCGAATAGATGAGGTTAAGTTTCCCATACTTTTCTCTAATCCCAACAGCTAACTGCACTCACAAAAATCTAAAGAAAACAAGTGATTTTAACTTTCCATCCAAGATTTGTTTTATATCATTACAAGACATCTTACATTCTCATCACACGTCTACCTTTACTAAAGTAATAACCTTGGTCCTATCCTAGATAATATAGGATGATGTAAACAGTTCAAGAGATCATTTTGCTGGTAAATGTAAGCAATCTATCATAAATAGATCCTATACAACGGACTTCGTACATATATTTTCTCATCTCAATTTGGTCTCCCTTGCTTCTTACAACAAGCCTTTCATGCAGCTTTTGTTGTTGCTGAAACTAAACACATTCATAGCAAGACTCCCACGAAAAAAGATCACAATGAACAAGCTAGGGCATAAAGTAAACAATCTTGACACTTGCGAACGCACCTGTAATAATTTCCTACCAAAATTAACCACCAAGTCGAATATCCCACACTACAGAATCTCAAAATTCTAACTATACATAAACAAGAAAATACTCGATCAAAATTTGGTTCAATCAGACACAATCAAAATCAACAGAACAACACCAAAAAAAGTCAACCAAGATCTCGAATTTACCCATTGGCATCCACCACTTCCCTCGATATCTTCATCTTTTTGGAAGTCCCCTTGTACAAATCCTCCAAACTGCACGGCAACATTCGCTCGATAGCAGGGGCCTTCCGAGGAGCACTCGGGCCGCCTTCCCCTCCGCCAGCCGCATTCCTAAACGAGGCGAATATATCATCTCCAAACATACCCCTCGGGAAGCCCGACGGGCCAGCCCTCGACCCACTGGCCATGTTCCCCATATCACCAAACGGGCTCGAAAACCCGAAGAACTCCGAGAATATATCGTCCGCACTGCGGGGATTGAACCGGAAAGAGGCGGACCCGCCTCCATCCCTCCCGCCGGAAAACCCTCCGGCGCCGGGAGGCGGCATCTGCCCCTTAAGACCTTCCTCCCCAAACTGATCAAAGACAGCCCTCTTCTGCGGATCACTCAAGACCTGAATTTTTTCAATAAAAACTAGAGTTAAACAGATAATTAGAGCGAACCCAGTATAATTTAGAAGGTAAATTTGAGGAAAAGGGGGATAATTACATCGTAGGCCTCTGAGATTTGCTTGAATTTGGCCTCGGCTTCTTTCTTGTTGTTAGGGTTTTTGTCGGGATGCCACTTCATGGCGAGCTTACGGTAGGCCTTCTTGAGGTCGTCGTCGCTGGCGGAGCGGTCCACCTGGAGCACCTTGTAGTAGTCCACGCCCATGGNCCACCTTCCTCCAATTTCTGTTTGGCTATGATGAGATTTGAGATTTTAATGTGTTTTCTGGAAATAAATAAGGAAATAATAAGAAAAAGGATTTATTCCTTTTCCTTCGATTTGTAGGTTTTTATTGGGTGTTATTGGTTAAGGCCCAGACTAGATGGGCCTATAAGTCAAGTATTATAATGGGACATTACACTATTTAATACCTCTTTGGTAAATCACAAAACTTAACAAGAGATATATAGAAATACTCGTCAATTGGCTCATCCTTCTGACGAGCTCGAATTTGAATTTTGAGAAATTTTCCTAGCATCCTTGACAAAGTTTTTAAATTGTATATAAACGAAATACATATTTTATTTGCAAAGATACGTAAATTACCCAAAAAATTTTGTATGTTTACGTCAATGGGCTCATCCTTCGACGAGCTCGAATTTGAATTTTGAGAAATTTACCTAGCATACCTTGACAAGGTTTTTAAATTGTATATAAACGAAATACATATTTTATTTGCAAAAATACGTAAATTGCCCAAAAATTTTGTATGTTTACGTAAATTATGCTGATGGTGTTATATTTTCAAATATTTTAATAGTGAGTAAGTAGAGATACTTACGGTAAGTGATTGATTTAGTGGAAATTGATAAGAAGGCATAACGGCTCAAGGATTTCAAACTTCTCTATTTTCACTTTGTCCGCAATTGCTTTCCAAAAAATTAAGAACACTTGCAGAAAATTCAATTACTAATCCTCTTCAACTTATCCACAAATCCTAGCAAAAAAGATAACAACACTTGCAGAAAGATGGCGAAAAGAATGCCACGCCCAATGTCGATAATAGCCCTATTGGTGGTGGTGTAGATGTTTGAGATTGGTATTTGTTGAGAATCAAACGACTAGACAATTCGATAATCCCACACAAATCAAATGGACCCATACAAACCATATCTAATAAGGGATCTGGCCGATCGGCGATAAAGATGCATCGGTGGATGTGTTTTTCACATGAGGTGATGACAAGAGGATTGAAGATGCAATTTTTCTCTCTTTTTTATTTTAATTTTAAAGTTGACTGGACATTCTGAAGGCACCTTCCATCGCATCCTGAAACCTACGACAATAAAAGATGCTCGACGGTGGACTTTTCAATGAAACTTACGGCGATAGAAGATGCTCGACAGTGGACTTTTGAATTAATTGGCGTGGCTGATTTTTTTTGGGGCCATTTCTGTTGATGTATAATGCGTATATTTTCGCTATATAATGACTAGATTGATTCATCTTACGTGTGGCTGATTTTTTTTGGGCCATTTTTGTTGATGTATATAATGCGTATATCTTCTGTATATTTTCGGTATATAATGACTAGATTGGTTTATCTAATATTGTGTAATCTTCTATATATTTTCAGTATATAATGACTGAAGTAGTTTATCTTACGTGTATATCTTATATATATGTCTTATGTGTATAATGACTATATCTTCTGTATATAATTTCTAGATTGGTTTATTTTATGTATATATCTTATATATGTCTTATGTATATATATATATATAAAGAATGATTAGATTGGTTTATAATCAGTATATTTTTTGTATATGCGTTTTAGTTATCTGATTCTCTAATTTTCACACAGCATTTACGTGCAAAAGAGATAATGTTTAGTGAGAGAAGATCTTTGATTTATTTTGTTACAAATATCCCCGTAACTGACGGATGAGAGAGGGGAATTATATCATTATTAAGCCACCATTTAATTAGATCTTTAATCCTTAATTAAGTTGCATAGTTTCGTAAAGATGCAAAATACTTTCACAACAATGTAAATATGCTAATATTTATCGTACATATCAGCACAAATGTAAATTTGCCAATTTGAGTGGGACAGGACAATGATGGCGGAGAGATGTAAACCAGTCGAATCGAGCTCGAATTTGAGTGCTTGACTCGATTCAACTCGTGAAAAAAATAAGAATGTTCGAGTTCGGTTTAATGCTCGACATGCATCGAGTTCGGCTCAAAATTTTTAACAACTAAATTGTCAATATAAAAATACTATTTTTAATCTTAATAGATAATTTTGGCATTGGTATTCTAATATTAATAATTAAACTAGACTAGGTATTTATATAAATAAAAAGTCGAAGATCTCGTCGAACTCATGAGCTTTTTCAAATGATGCTTGAGACAACTCGTTACTCGATTGAACTACTCGAGTTCGAGTTTAACTGAACTCGAGTCAATCATTGACTCGAGCCCTCGTGAGCGGTGCGCTCAACTCGTTTGCAATTGTAGGTGGAGGAGGAATTTTAGTGAGCTCAAGCCATATGATTAATTTCACCATCTTATTCAACCTCAACGCACCTTTATTACTCATTTGAAACTTGAGAGCCAAATTATTCCAAAATATCACACAAATGCACCGGACATAAGGTTACAAACATGCACAACTTTGTGTAAGAAAATCAAACAAATCCAAAAATATAAAAGAGAAATTGCACCAAAAATAAAAAAATAAAAAAATAAAAAAAATCATATCATATAAACTGAAAGCGCATGAGTAACTTGACAGACTTGTATTTTTCTCCTTTCTCGTCGTGCAGTGGCACCGCACGAACTCCAATCCTCAGCTCAGAAACCGGAAGGCACGTTTGGCCTCCGAAATCGTCCTTGTCTGACAGGTCGAATTCGTGAACCTCCACCCTTAGCAAAGCTAGCTCCGGGACGGTTAATTTGAACTCGAACTCCTCATTCCAAACAGGCGTCCAATTGTCCTCAATTGCCTTAGTTCTTCTCATAGTTGAATCACAAGGCACCCCAGCAATACCAATCTATTAACGTTTTGATCCGCCTTACAGTTACCGTCTCATACAAGATTATGCATATGAAAAAACAGTAATTATGTGGTAACGTGTTATAATTAAGACAATACCTTGACATAAAAGTCCGGTGGGGAATAAAGATCGAAATGAGTGCGGTGGAAATCGAGATTCCAACCTTCTCCCATGTAAACTTTGATCTAAATAATGATGAACACAATTATATATGCAATTAGTAAACTAAAAAAAAAAATTCAAAGCACAAAAATTAAATGTTTTTCAAAATGAAACATACTTTGAGGGTAGTTTTCACGGGTAATTGTACTTTAGGATCAAAGACCTCATTATTGGGACCAATGTTTAGTAAAAGGTCTGGCTTTTTCACATAACCACAACCACCGTTTGCTCTGAACATTCCTTGCATCAACCAAAGAGGCCTTCCATGTGTCTAATTAGATAGGAAAAAATAAATTAGTTACTAATTAAGCATAATTCTAAACTTTCACGATCATACTTTTTGAACATATACACAGACTTTTCAGAATGAAATGTCATATTCGGAAAAACAAACATAAATAAAAGTATGACATTTCATAATATAATTATGCATTTTATTTAAAAGAAAAAGTATAGTATGGATCGTTTCGCCTAACAGTAAAACTAACCTGCATGTTAAAAGCAACCATCTGAGCACCATGCATCCACCCAATAAAAGGATTGAAATTGGAAGAGTCAATTCTTGTAGCTTTCGGGTACACTCTCATCAAGTTCTTCTGGTTGAATCTTCAATGGATGATAACCAAGAAAATAAATAAATAAATAAATATTTTCTCAACATTATGAGTGTTATTTTCTAGCACAACTTAGTTCGACTCATGAAAGTTTGAGCTTGAACAACTCGTTTCTTTTTATGACTTAAATAAAATAGTCGAATTGAACTTATTTACGAATAACTCGATTAATGTTTTAGACTTAAACAAGTCGAGTTGTAGCCACTTTGACTCGTTTATTAAACGACCTGAAAACTCAATCATTTAAACGAACATGAGATCAAACATGAGTTACTTGCATGTCGCGCTAGATTAACACCCATGAGTAGAACTAGTAAAAGGAATATTTAACCCAATTTCATAAAATAATTAGTGCATAATACTTATTTTAGTAAATAATAATGTTTGCTTTTAATTTTAGTGAAACAATTTTTTGATAAATTTGTGCTGACCTGATAATTTCAGTCCCATGAGTCAAAACAGCCTTCTCGAGCTTCTCCTCGTTCAGGCTCACCCGATGGGCATTTTCGGTACTAACTCGCAGCCACTCTTTAATCCCACCTTTCATTTTCTCGTTTCGTATCGCGATCAAATGCTTGTACTCAGGGGCCACGACATTTTGTCTCGAGCTCTTATCAATCTTAACATTCTCGTATTCCTGATCGTTAGTATCTCGACCGCTGTTGCTAAATCTCGCGCCCAAATCCGAGATTTCCTTACCCCACGATATCTCTTCTGACGACTCACGCACCTCGACACTATACTCGCCTTTTTCGACTGATTTGCTAGTCTCGAGATTCTTTGTCTCTTTGGGTTGTTTTGTTGAAATGATGACACGTGTCCTCAGTGAATCCGGCGATGGGAACTCTAGCAGGGATTCTGATGGTGAACAGAATAGTACGTCTTCGAATGTTTGAGAAACCATCTGAAATTTAATTAATTAAGAAAATTAAAACATGTTAATGACTATAATAAATAATAATATAACATTTCTAAAATCTTTTTGCAATTTGAAACCAATTATATTCTGAAATCCCCCTAAATTCTGAAATTTTCATTAATATTTTTAGAAAAAAGTTATTAATTCATCCATTAACTATAAAATCACACTAAAATATCNTACTCCTTTTACGAGTTTTTGGCTCATTGATCACATTAAAAAAAATCAAAGAACAAAAGAAAAGTGCCATATCACTTGGATTTACCTACAATTCAAATAGTGCAAGAATTGGAGAACCATGTCATCAAACTTGATAATCCAAAGCCAAGATTGAACCAAAATTGTCACAAATAAAATAAATATTGTTCAAAATGGATATACAAAATGAAATTATTAAGGATGAAAAGAGCAACTAGAACCAAACTATAACGCTAAAATTGCAATTTCTCCTCCTTTTTTAGAAATATTATGTTCATTTAACAAGCTAGTTACTATTTTCCCATAAAAATCATGATTCTCCCAGTCAAATAAATTTAGTTATATCAACAATATATAGCAATTATATATATGATTAATTTAGTGTATAGATTATAAACCTCTGCAACTTTTGCTTGAAGCTGTGGAGGGAGATGATCTTCCAGCGTAATAATCAGAGGATATTCTGATGCAACAAATGCATTTTCTTTAATTGCTTTCAAACATTTAATCAGTTTCACTGGATTCGTCAATGTCCTGTCAAATGAAAGTCCAATTAGCAACTAGTATTATTTTTTTTAAAGATCAAAATTAATTAAACAAATACAATGAGTTGATAAGATCCAATAATATATGAGTTGTATCACTAGTATACTGAAAAATGCTCCAACTACTTTTTAAAAATTGCAAGTCGAGATATTTCCTAATTAATTATCCAATTGAAATAAAGCATATGAAATGTATAAGATATTTATTTATTTCTTCCACATACCCTCCATGCAATATATTGATGTCATCCTTAGATGAATTTGGCCACATATCCAATTCAATAACTCGTACACCTCTTTTTAGGGCCTCTACAATTGGGACCTCACTTGAATCGCTACTGATTTGATTTCCTGTGAGATATGAATTGTGGCCTGTGTAGATAAAATAATGGGACAATGGGGCTGTCATGTCATGGTGCACCTACACCAAGAAACAGCCCATACAAACATAATAATTAATCAAAAAATACTTGGAAAATATTATAAAATTGTGAATATTGACAATGCAAAATTGTCGTTTTGTTTCTGCAATTATTATTATTGCAGAGTAGGAGGGATTAATTATGATATGTGGAGTGATTAGTGGGATTCCTTTTTCTTTTCTAATACAATTACATCAAAAGCATTTGCATTAATACATATAAACTAATCAACCAATATTACTTTTAAATATTCTATAGATAATTCTGAATATATTACTACCTTCCCCTAAGATCTAGCAAAATATTAATGATATAAACACAGAAGACTTAGGGCAGCCTAATAGTTAATAGTTAATACAACCTAACATAAGATTTACTGATACAAAAATGTTATAGCAATACTTTTGAACAGTATACATTGTGAATTGTCAAACGTTTTTAAAATACAAATTTACACTGTGAATTTGTCAAACTTTTTTTTTAAAAAAAAAAAAGACAAATTTTCAATATAAAAATATGCATATCAGTAATTGTGGCACCAAACAACCTCTTTACCGAAACAAATATCAGTCCCTTCCAATAATTTGTCAAAATTTGACTGTAATTTGTGTAATAAGTAATGTGCTAAAAAAATAGTTAAAAAAGTAAATAAATAGATATGTATAGTGTTACCTTAGATGGATGAGGAAGAGGAGAATTAATCTCACTCATGAGGTACCGGAAGAAGTGTGCAATGGTGAAGCTGCTCGTGTTGCGGTGGAAAATGTTGAAGTGTTTGTGTTCGTTGAGAAAAGAGTTCATTAAAGCCTCGGCTTCCTCCCCGGTGAGCTTGTCATCTCCCTGAACCTCGGCCACGAACTTGTGAAAATGGCCGGCGTTCATTATTCCGTTTTCGGAATAATTTTCGAACAAAGCCTTGATATCTGCCGGCGCCTCCACATCTCTCAGCCGGAATTTTCGTTTCACGCATAAACATATGCTATATGTTTGCTTTGACATCTCTCTCCCTCTCTCTCTCCCAATCTCTCCCGGTCTCTCTCTGGTTTGGTTATCTGACTGAATATAGAGGGAAATGGGAGCTTTTGTGACTTATGGGAAAAATTGTGTACAAATCCATATGTTATCCGCTATTGTGGTCCGACCATATGTTTTGACTTGATTTCATATATATTACATTGAATTAGCAATTTGCCAGATGGATTGTTATAATGTCCATCTTTTATTTGAAATATTTAATTGATCTATTTGTTTATATAACATTATAACTAGCTGTACCAATGTTTTTTTTTTTTTTCTATTAAATAAAACGTACAGTTGGTGCATTGCAATTGGTAGGTGTGTATTGTCAGAGTGGTTGCTATATTAATGCAATTTTCCAAAGTAGTACTGCGGATATTTTCACATTGGGCTAAATTATGTGGCTATTAATTGTCATATCTCATGAAATAAATAAACAATACAACATATTAAAAAAAATGAAAAATATAACCGACATGTTGCCTTCCAAATGGCTCACGAAATTCCTGAGATTAATTAGCTATAATCTAGTCAAATTCCCTAAATATCCGTTAATCGGTGGAACATTATCACCCACAAGTGAATAATTTATTAAGCAATTACGTGACCTTAATTATTACTACATCCTAAGTATAAATGTATAATTAAAGGTTACCTAGTGATCAGGTAATTGTATAATAAACTAGTAATTATCCTGTGCACATGCACAGATGTACATAAAATATAATAAGTAATATTTGAGAATTTAATATTAAAATTTTAGAATACATTTTTAAAATGTGATCATTAGGAAAAATAAATTAATGATTGTTTATTGTTATGAATAATTATTAATTATCATTAGATAATAGCAGTTTGATTATTTATTATTATTATTATTATTATTATTATTATTATTATTACAAAAACAATTGTTTATAAGATTCTAAAGTTGTTTGACTATGCTATTAAAACAATTTACTAATTGTTTTTAAAGAACTTTTTTCATGAGATACAAAAGAAAAAGATAATATTGATGTTAAAATAAATAACTTGAAACAATTGTTTATAATTATGCAATTTATATTTATTGTGAATTATTATTAGTTGGTATTAGCATTAATTATTATATAATATAATAAAAAAATATATGATTACACTCAATAGGATGTATTAATGTGAGAAGTAAAAAATATTAATGATAAATTTTGTAACCGAAAATGGAGGGAAATTTTTAGAGGTTTTATTAAATAGGTTTTCTTAAATTCTAGTAGCTAGTAATTATATATATATAGATTGAGGTCACACATAATTTGCATTATAAAAGAATGATTAATAATAACATTAAGACCAATCTAATTGACTTCTAATGGCAATTAATTATAGATATTCACATGCTTGCTCATATGTAGTGATGTAATAAACGAACTACGACTTCAGCTCGATTAATAATTGAACAACTTTTTACTGAGTTTTTGTTTATATGTCTATAGTCTGGATGTGTAATTAATTTTTTGTGATAGTGAAGTAATTTTGTAGTATTTTTAACATTATTGCCGATTGTTTATGGAATTCAAGCAAACCGCAAGTTTTGAGGTCACGGACATTACAGACATTGCCTACAAAGATTGATCAACAAACAAGTCAATATCAACTGATTGACTAAAAATTTAACAAAAATGTTCTTTATCCCGTTCGTTTCCTACTGTATCAAATACTCCCTGACGTGTCTTTTTACACATCAGTCTAATTTTCCTAATCTTTCTCTAATTATTCGGCCAAGGAAATTAGACTTTCATTAAAGTTT